AGAAAAGTTCAGATGTTGTTGAGTTAACATATTTGTCTTGTTTAAAAAAAATGCCCTTTTTTCCCTTGAGCCCCTGCCCACCAAATGTCTGTGCACGTCCCTGCCTGGTTGCCATAATTAATTTGTAGACGTTTTAATTGACGTAAGCGTAATGTCAAGCTTTTATGTAACCAAACCCAACTACTTAAGCTTCAAAACCTATGCTTGCTTCAATAATATCATTATCATAATGTCAGGATGACTAAGTAATGGCCATCGAGTTTTTGTCGAGACCATAGGTCGTGTCGAGCCTCTCTATTTAGCACCCTCTACAGGACTGTGGACACAATAACAGAGTCGAAATGATCACTGATCCTGGATCAGGCTCTGGAGATGACATATGTTTCGTGGTCTACTATTATTGGTCCAGGCACACCATCTTGTTGTCCAATGGCAGGCAGACATCTGTTCGCTGGAGCGACTCTAAAATATTCTGTTCTCTTCCGTCTCCACAAGGTATTCACATTTTAGCAAGGACGTTGGCTGCATTGGAAAGGAGAGCTGAGATGGGGAAAATGCAAGTCTTGGGTGTAGTTGCGGTGATGCTAGCAGTGTACTGTGTACATGCAAAGGTTTACTTTCGGGAGGAGTTTGTGGACGGTGGTAAGTTTGGCATTGACATGTAAAAAACTAGTTGTGCATGAGGTTAACGTTAATTGATTGCATGTTAGCTTGACTTTTAGCCATCATTTGGTCACAGTTAGCATAGTAAGTTTCTCTTGAAACACTGTTCTCTTGACGAAACGTTTTGTTTTTCAGTCGGTGATTCAGTGAAAAGAAGCTCCAGTTTCAGTATCCTAACTTGTTAGCTGGCTAACTTTAGCAAGGCCCCAACGCTAGCAAACTTAACACCCATAACGTTACCACTAACCCCTAACTAAGTTGCTAGGTTGTGGCCTAAGTAGCAGTATAAATGTGTGTGTTGTTGTGTAACGTTAGCCAACCAAACGAATTTACACGATGTGACAGTTTCAATAATGCCAATGAATGGGCAATTGTGTAATAGGATTTTCGGGAAGTAACTTAGCTTGATGCATTTTAAAAGGATGCCCCAAGTGTTAAACCTGGTCTTTATCTTTTCAGATGAATGGAGAAGTCGCTGGATGAACTCCAAACACAAATCTGACTATGGAGAGTGGAAACTAACAGCTGGCAACTTCTTTGGAGATGCTGAGAAAGACAAAGGTAAGAGTCATGTGCTTTAAGTAATTCACAAGTGTTGGTCATGATATATTAATTATGGCTAAAAGTCTCTAGTGATTAAAAATGTGTTCCAGATGTAGAAACTAAATGGTAGATAGATCTTTTGAGAACAACAAATAAGATATTGTATCTTACACAATTCTTATACCCAGTCAAGTTAAAGTGCCCCTGTGTCTATTTTGTAGTACCCACATTGTTTTCTTAAAGTCTTGTTAAAGGTTTCTTTTGCACTTTCAGGTCTGCAAACAAGTCAGGATGCTCGTTTCTATGCTACCTCTGCCCGTTTCGAACCTTTCAGCAACGAGGGCAAGCCTTTGGTCATTCAGTTTACAGTTAAGCATGAGCAAAAGATCGACTGTGGTGGTGGCTACGTGAAGGTGTTCCCTGCTGATTTGGATCAGGCTGAGATGCATGGAGAATCCACATACTACATCATGTTTGGTAAGTGATGTTCTTGGTAATGAACAATTGTCATTAAATGGTTACAATAACAGCATATGGAACAACATGTAATTAAATTTATTTCACCCAGGCCCTGATATCTGCGGCTACAGCACAAAGAAAGTCCATGTCATCTTCAATTACAAGGGCAAGAATCACCTCATCAAGAAAGAGATTAAGTGCAAGGTAATTGAATTCTGGCATTTTAAGTGTGTGTGGGTGGGGGAGTATTTGTCTGCACATGTATTGCCTCTGCACCAGTGGCCAAATCTAAACACTTGTGTTTCTTCTAGGATGATGAGCTGACCCACTTGTACACACTGATCTTGAATCCAGATCAAACCTATGAGGTGAAGATTGACAATGAGAAGGTAGAATCTGGCAGTCTGGAGGAAGACTGGGACTTTCTACCTCCTAAGAAAATTAAGGACCCCGAAGCCAAGAAGCCAGAGGACTGGGATGATCGCGCCAAGATTGACGATGCTGATGACACCAAGCCTGAAGTAAGCTTACAAATATAATTAATTTATTACTAATATACTTAAGTAGTTAAATTAATCAACCTCTTCCTGTATAAAATGTACCTTTTTGTTCTACTTTGCACTGACTGAAAGTGCTTTTCATAGGAAATGCTAAAGAGAAGAGTTTTCCCATTGATTTCTCTCCCACAGCTGTCCTGGTGTTTTGAAGGGCTAAATTGCCATCCCTACATCTGTTAGTTCAACTTCCATCTTTTGTATTATGTGTACTTTAGGACTGGGACAAACCTGAGAACATTCCAGACCCTGACGCTAAAAAGCCTGAAGACTGGGAGGAGGATATGGACGGAGAGTGGGAGCCACCCATGATCCCCAACCCAGAGTACAAGGTAGGCTAAAATTGGTCATGGCTTAGAGCTTATGCTCTGTGTGATCGCCTCTGCCTGAGAAATGCTTAACATTCACCCTGCCAATGCATTTGTAGCCTGAAAAATACCTTCTCTATTGCAGGGAGAATGGAAACCGAAACAGATCGACAACCCCAACTATAAAGGATCCTGGGTGCACCCTGAGATTGACAATCCTGAATACAGTCCTGATTCAAACATCTACAAGTTTGACAAAATTGGTGTTTTAGGTCTTGATCTTTGGCAGGTGAGCAGGAAAGAAACTATCTTGAAATAGTAATGTTATTGCTGTAGTGATGCCCCAACTGCAGTGTAACATTTTGTGACTTTTTATCGCAGGTGAAATCTGGTACCATCTTTGACAACTTCTTGATCACAGATGATGTGAAGGAAGCAGAAGACATTGCAAACGAGACATGGGGTTTGACAAAGGTATGCTGGTGCTGGTATTCTTTTTAAGACATATTTTGTAATTTGAACAACCCATGCAACAATTGCCAATAATATACCGAAGAGATTAAAAGACATGCTTTGTGATTTATCTAAACTTTCCCCACAGGAACCAGAGAGGAAAATGAAACAGGAGCAAGATGACCTAAAACGAAAAGAAGAGGAGGAGAAGAACAAAGAACAAGACACTGACGCCAATGATGATGATGATGATGAAGAAGATGACACTGATGAGGAAGAAACAAAGGACGACATGGAGGAGGCCCTTTCAGAAATGGATGATGAGGAAGGAAAGCTTAAAGATGAGCTTTGAGGAGGTGGCCAGAGATTTTGTCTGTCCCTCCGTTAGAAACTGTCCTGTATTTCCCAGGGGTATTGTGGCTGCTGTGCATCCTTTCCCTGAGATTTGGACACAACCCATTTTTGGGAGGGGGAGGCGGGGGGGGAGCAAATTTGGTGTAGGGTGGCAAGTGGAAGTAAATGGACTTAAGTTTCTCTTTCATTTTGGTCATGATATTACGCTGTTGCCCTCAACTGCTGGATTGATTCTAAGGTTTTCCACCCACAAAGTCCATTGCTCATTTACTATTTTGTGTTTTTATTTTTTCTTGATCTACACATCTACTTTCAGATTCCCTTGCACAGTTGACCCAGAGCTGTGATAAATATGACAAATTGAGATTTGCAAGGATTAGCCATTCAGATTTTAATAATTTTCCCCAAAGGAAAATGTCTCTTGCAGCCCGGTGAAACATAAAATGCACATAACTGAACATATAATGCAAAACCTTTTAAGACTTACTGAAAAAAGAAATTACAGAGTAATGTAACTTATTTTCATTATATCTGTGGCACTGACTTAGTTTTCTTTCCACTTCCTCTTCTGCAGTAGCACCCAGTTAAATAGTTTTTTTTTTCTATATTGAAATGGCATAAATTCAACATGCCGTCATGCTAATGATGGGATCTACATTATACCCTGAATATCTGGCGAAAGAGATGTTGAGCCCCTGGTGTGACTTGTGACATCACTAAGGGTCACAAACTTATTTTTATTTGGACAGAATGTTATTGATACCAAAGTTTTTATTAAAAGATTATACCCTTTTTGCCTGGTCATATTTTATACTGCATATGCACATTTTTGAAGTAATGTAAATTATCTGACTGTACACCTACATTTTTGTTATTCACATCAAGGCATAAGGAATAGAAATAATAATAGAAGGTAGATAAATATAAGGGTATAAATATAAATGGGTATGGAAATGTACAATATTTACATTATTAAAAATTGCAATGGAGAACAGTACGGTGAATAAATAGTAGAATTGCTAAATTTGCTAAAACTTTAACAATTAACAAATAGTACCATTTCTGAAATCTGGTTTGTTGCTCAGGCCCACTCTCATTGAACTGTGTATGTCATGTTTAAACACACAGCAGAGCACAAATGAAATCTTCATTATATTTTGCCTAGAGTTCCAGAAATGAGCCAATGCTCCTACAGAAATACTACTAAACAGTCTGCAATTTTACACTGCGTCTGTTTGTTTGTGGTAATTTGATTAAACACAACCTTATTTAGTAGCATGCACAAAATTAAAATCTGTCAAGTTACCTCACAGTTAATAAGAGGGCCTTTGCGGTCCTTGAGGGTCTGGGGTGGGCAGTCGTCCACTTTTGCGCAGTAGGTATTCATACCTTGCTGTTTCTGAAGGAGGAAATGGTGAGAAGTAATGGCATGATGCTGGTATGGGAGTAAATTGGCGCTATAATAAAACCTTTAATCAGGTTCCCACCTGAGCCTGGTCTGATGGTATGTTTTTCCATCCGGGATGTGACTTATCCAATCAGAACTGAGGACTCGAACAATATATCTTTCTCATCTCGAATCCCTCTAGCATCAGCTATTGCTTGGTTCACAGTTTCACAGGGACAATGCCCTGCACCTCGTGTGGTGACCTAAACACTTCACCAACCGGAACCACGGTCCTGTCTGTCCGTCTTTAGCCGCTCGTGCCTGCTCGATTAAGGGGCGTGTGCGCACTCCCGACACACCAGGAAATATGGCGGCGCTTATGACGCTCAGTCAGGTAACAACTCTCAATAGCTGAAGAAATGTCTCAAATTTTAATACTGGTCAATGTCAAGACAGTGACAGTCGTTGTATGGTCTCACTATATAACTACTTAGTGAATATTGGCTAGTGGAACCGTATTAGCAACCTGCCGGTGTCAGCTAAGTGTACATGGTTAGCTAACGTTAGGTTAAGTAAAGATAGCAAAGTTACTGTACGTTTTAATGGAAGAAGAAAGCTAGTATTGGAAGTAAATTAATTTAGCAGCTAAGGTGGTGTTAATGAAAATTAAAAACTGTCTAACCAGTGTAGCTAAAGCTGAACTGAAACAAACCTTTAGTTAGCTAACGTTAGCCATCATAGCTGTATTTATCTGTTAACGTTAACCAGTTACTTTTACCTATTACTGACGTACAGTCTGCTAACGTTATAGCTATTTCTAGCTTTAAATAACTTTAATTTGGGGTATGGGCAATCTGACACACTCTCATTTGTAACTGGTGTTATATTTCTCTTCTGTGTGCTTCTCCAGCTATCAAGTGGAGTCCCAGCTTATGAGAGCTATTATAGACAGGTATGGTCTGGGTTACTGCTTTGATTTTTACACTCCAGCTCTTGTGGTGTTCATTCAGCTGAATATTATCTGTTGAATAAAGTCATTTAATAAACCCAGTTATGTCTGCTGCATCCATTTAGTGTTTTGTTATTGATTTGTTGTAGCTGGATCCAGGAAACACAGGCAAAATATCGGCTGGAGATGCAGCTCAGTTCCTTAAGAAGTCTGGGCTGTCAGACAGTACATTGGGGAAGGTGGGTCAAAAACCCAAGCAGCTTGCACCAACACACAAAACTCATATAATAGGTTTATAGCACACAAATGTTTTTTTCTTTTTTGTCATCCTTTAGATTTGGGATTTGGCAGATTCAGAAAGAAAAGGCTATTTGGACAAGCGGGTATCGTATCTCTTCTCTTGAATTTCGCTGGAGATTTACTGTGATCGATAATGCTGATGTGTGCATAAAACGCATGATTTTCCTTACTTTCTTCCTGATTTGTAGGGTTTCTTCATAGCTTTGAGACTGGTGGCCTCAGCACAGGGCGGAAATGATATCAGCCTCAATAACCTCAACCAAAACTTAGCTGCGCCCAAATTTGTAAGTGATTCTCCTGACACTTGCAGTATTCAATGCTGTGATAGTCAACACACTGAGTGGAAAATCTACTTCTGCTGCTTATATGAGAAATGAGTGGACATTGAATGTCTCAAAGTGATAATGTTGTATGTATCCCTGTCTTTTTGCCATCTTCATACAGTTGTTACCGTGTTTGTCTTCTTTGCTAGTATCTTATATTCACTTCATTTTTTTTTTTTTACAGAAAGACACTAACAGTCCATTACTAAGTGTTTCAGTGACAGGAACTGATTCACAGTGGGCAATTAGGGTGAGTTGATCCCATTTATCAAGAACAAAATGAGAATATAATAAAATCATCCTTGTCACATCACCTAAACTTTTTTCTTCCCCAGCCTGATGAAAAAGGGAAGTTTGAAGGCATTTTTGAGAGTTTGTCCCCTGTAAATGGCCTCCTCCCTGGTGAAAAAGTCAGGCCAATTTTGATCAACTCCAAGCTACCTCTGGATGTGTTAGGAAAGGTGATATTACATGTTAGAATGATGTATATTTATTGTTGTACAGTCTTCCCTGACATTGCAATGGTAACAATTCAAAGCAACTAATTCTTGCTCATTATTGCATTTACATAACTTTCTGTAGATTTGGGACCTAAGTGATGTAGACAAAGATGGAAACCTGGATAAGGATGAATTCACAGTGGTAAGCTGGTGCCGTTTTGTTAAGGTTTTACTGTCACTCCAGAGTAATACTGTTCGTTTTATTTTTATTAATAGATTATCTGATTTCTTATTTTCCAGGCCATGCATCTTGTGTATCGTGCCATGGAAAATGAGCCTGTCCCAACTACCTTACCCACTTCCCTCATCCCCCCTTCTAAAAGGAAGAAGTCTGCAGGTGCTCTGCCAGGTGCTGTGGCTGTGCTGCCTGTTCTTTCTGGGCTGACGGCTGGCCCAGCTCCCTTGAAAGAGTCCCTGCGAAGCACTCCTCCTGTGAGCAGCACTCTTCACCTAAGTACTTCCCCAGTACTTCCTACCAGTACTGTCAACCTCTCTCCAAAACACTCCTTTAAATCCAGCTCACCGGTAAGACAACATTTCTCTCGTGGTGTTAATGTAGGCGAAATGACTACATTGATTAGTCTATGGGAGATGTGCTCTTTCGATATGGTTCTAATTACATCCTAATAGAGAAATGGCATGAAGTAATACACATATAATAATTAAACTAATGCAGTGCAATGATATACTACATAACTATGATCTGTTTTTCTGCATTACATCAAACAACTCTTCATTTGAGTAAAACAAGCTTTTTATCAAAATTTTCTCAGAGTAGGTAATTAAGACAACAGTATTTTGTGAAATAATAACATGATATGATAATTTTAAAAAAAAGTTTTTTTACATATAGTTGTTCTGAAAGTTGATGAATGTAAATATTAAGTTAGCACCCAGCCCTTCTCTCGGAATTAAAAATATATACTTCTTTTACTAGCTGTTTATTTACAGGTTTTGTTTCCTTCTAGGGCCACAACTGATGATTATTTTCATCGTTGATTAATCTGCTGATAATTTTCTTGATTAATCGATTATTTGTTTGCTCTATAAAATGTCAAAAAAGGGGGAAAAATGTCCATCAGTGTTTCCCAAAGCCCAAGATGACGTCCTCTAATGTGTTGTTTTGTCCACAGCCCAAAGATATTCAGGTTACTGTCATAGAGCAGTAAGTAAACCAGAAAATATTCACATTTAAGAAGCTGGAATCAGAATTTTGACTTTTTATATTTTTTTCAGTGACCATGAAACATAAAAATGACCATTTGCACTAAAATTATCACCATCTCAATATCTGATGAAATAAATGCAATAGTATTTTATGTTTTGCATATTGCACCGTCCTGATATTTAGTTGTCCGAGTGAGTATCACAAGGGCAGAGCCTGGAGTTTAAAGAAACAAGCATTTCCTGTATTGATGTTTTTCTGTTGCTAATGGTTGGACTTGTTTGGCCACATTGTTTCGAGTATTGTCCACAGCCCAGTGTGTTTCTCTCCACCTTTTCATAGTTGCAGGGATTTTCGCCCGTGACTTTTAGAGAAACCGGTTTCCTTTAAAGAGAAGAGAAGAATGATTTTCCCTCATACCATGATCAACTGGTGTTTGCTGTCATGACACTTGTGATTTCCTTTTTTTCAGTTGTGCCACTTTTTCTCCTTTAATAGCCAGTTTCATTGCCCTTTTCCCAGATATATATTTCAGAATAAATCTTTCTTGCATAGTTATGTATCATCAGCTAATTTAGTTGCAGTATCTTGAATTTAGTATTTTTCAGTTTTTGTTTGAATGTGTATAATAGGTCAATGACAACAGTAACAGTTGATAAGGACTGCAGGACATTTTTAGCCGTGTTAGGACTTTTAGCTATGTATGGCAAGACTTGTTAGTATATATTAGGGGTGTATTCGACTGAGAATTTAGATAGTCGAATCAGAATTGTCGAGGATTGCCTATAGTTGACTGACGCCGCCTCCTTTTAGGGTTTAGGGTTACAGTTTTGGATTTATTTACACACTTTAAAAAATTTATTAAAAGCTTCTTGTATATATGTATATTTACAGCATCATATGTTGATATTTGTATCATAATAGGCTGTATATTAAGTTAGTGGGAGAAAACTAGTAGTTCTGTGTAAAAGCAGATGTTGACCAACTCCATATAGCCAAAATGGCATGATCCTCGTTTCATAACAGCTCTGCGAATATTTGACTGTGAGATTGTGAGTTCAATCAGGCTCCTCATGTCAAATCTTTGACCATTCGGGGTCACCTCTAGTGTGTGTGTGTGTGTGTGTGTGTATATATAGGACATGTTTTCCCATTCGTCACCAAGTGCAGTTCATTTTTACTTTTAACTATAATAATATAAATACCTTAACTATTATACTATTATAGCTATGGCTCTTGAGGTTTCAGCAGATCGACTAAAATCACATACATATTGTCTTTTGTTGATTCCAGCCAGCGGTTAACTGGGTGGTACCGGTGGCTGACAGGGAGAGATACGATGACATCTTCAAGAAAACAGACTCTGACAACGATGGCCTCGTTAATGGAACTGAGGTCATAGAGATCTTCATGATGTCCAGTCTCTCCCAGACTATGCTGGCACAGATATGGTGAGACCACAACTCAGTTCAGATCGTATTTATTCACAGAAGGTTTTCCTCATTTCTTTCACACCCCACTTTTCACATATTAAGAATATTACAGTGGCCAAGAGAGTTCAATACACTGCAGTTTAAGAAAACACAAGCAAATTAGGAAACCGATTCATCAGCGTATACATTATATGCTATATTTTTCAGTTTCAAGAAAAGAATTATGCCCTATAGAACCTATCTTACTTTTTATCATACCTGAGTACCGGTATCTGAATAGGGCAGAATCATACACACCTGTGCATATCTAGTATCACCAGGTTTAAATCTATAGCTCAATCTGGTGGCCATTTTATATCATTAGATTTTCTCCAGAAAGTGGATGCAACATAACATGCAAAAATGATGATGAGTGTGCCAAACGGTGACCTTTCAGATGACTTTGGGTTTTATTTCTCAGAAAGAATGCAGTATCTATTCTTGTGTTTTGAGAGAAATCTCTCCTCTCTGCAGGGGACTCGCTGACACTAAACAGACGGGCAAGCTGACCCGGGAGCAGTTCTCTCTTGCAATGTATCTGATCCAGCAGAAGGCCACTAAAGGCATAGACCCTCCGTCAGCTCTAACCCCAGACATGATTCCCCCATCAGAAAGGACTGCAGCTTCAGCAGCTGGCACCGTGAGTCCTGACTATTGCCCACTGCAACCGCTGCATCATCTTTCAATATCCCTATTTATTGGATTTCTTCACTTGTATATTTACTTCAAGACTCTGTTTTCCTGCATTTCTTATGCATTTTAAATGGTGATTTCTTTTTTCTTTGCTTTTTAGCCTTGCAAGGCAAGGCAAGTTTATTTGTATAGCACATTTCAACAACAAGGTAATTCAAAGTGCTTTAAATAAAACATAAAAGCAACAGGGAAATATAAAAAGTTTTTGCCTTGCAAACCTGTTTTTTATTTTTATTCTTTTGCTTTTTTTGAGCTTTCTTCTATGCTGTCTAACAGAGCTATGTGGGGCTTATGTCAGCCGTGTGACCTGAGCTTGTCCCAGAAGCTAATATGTGCTAATATTTGTGTCACAAGGTGGCGCTTTTGTTCTGTCATATATTCTGTCTCAATCTGAAGCAATAGGTGTGAATTGGACCATCTCCCTTGCATTATGGATTATTTTCCCAATGTATTTACACAGCAAAGAGGAACATAGAATATCTTAAATCTTGTTTAGTCTTTGCCAAATATTTGTCAGGCCTTGGACTTCCCAGAATGTGTCAGGTTTTTTAAACCTGTGCTGAAGGCAAACACTGCCACCTGCTGGAGTTCCACCATCATTGGTCTCTCACAGCGGCCACTGTGAAATGATGGTCAGCTAAAGTATAGTTACTTAATAATACATTTTAGTTTTAGTAAAACAGGTAGTGTCACTTACTTGACAAGTTTGGAAATATACAATATTCAGGTAAAGATGTGATGTTTTGGCAAACCAATGATTGAGGAGGCCTTTGAGAATCTTTAAAAACATCTTATCCTTATCATCTTATGATGTTTAATTTCTTATCAGCTTTCAGTTTTCCCAATTGGGTGATGTCATTTTTGAATCAAATTCTTCACTTTTTGTGTGAGACCATCAAAACAGACATCAGACTGCAGCTTTTTATTCAGTATTAGCAAAGAAAAGAAAAGAAAAGACAAATTATTTTAAAGGTTGCTTGTTTTTCACAGTTATGGTCAATGGACACATAATCAGTTTGGAGAAACTGCCTGAAGTGTGTAGCTTCAAATTTGACTATAAAGGCAAGGACACTTAATAAGTCACTCTTTCACTCCCTTCCACATCAAAGAAATCCGAAAGCCTGATCTTTTGTTTATTATAAACTGATTAATGTCATGAGTAAAATCAATTAACATTGATTGAATTAACATTCAAAGAAAAGTACAAATACATACTCTTTTGTAACTCTTACACAAATACTATCATTACAGACAAATAGCTCTATTGCACAGTTCCCTTTTTGAGGTTGAACATGAAACCTAAAAACAAATAGTGTTTGGGGGAGGGGGGCTTTAGGTGTAGGATATGTGCGCTCATAAAGGAGACGATTCTGGGACGTTGATTTTATACTACGACTACTTGAGATGTAAAGAAGCCCGATACAGTGAGGAAAATAAGTATTTGAACACCCTGCTATTTTGCAAGTTCTCCCACTTAGAAATCATGGAGGGGTCTGAAATTGTCATTGTAGGTGCATGTCCACTGTGAGAGACATAATCTAAAAAAAAAAAATCCAGAAATCACAATGTATGATTTTTTTAACTATTTATTTGTATGATACAGCTGCAAATAAGTATTTGAACACCTGTCTATCAGCTAGAATTCTGACTCTCAAAGACCTGTTAGTCTGCCTTCAAAATGTCCACCTCCACTCCATTTATTATCCTAAATTAGATGCACCTGTTTGAGGTCGTTAGCTGCATAAAGACACCTGTCCACCCCATACAATCAGTAAGAATCCAACTACTAACATGGCCAAGACCAAAGAGCTGTCCAAAGACGCCAGAGACAAAATTGTACACCTCCACAAGGCTGGAAAGGGCTACGGGGAAATTGCCAAGCAGCTTGGTGAAAAAAGGTCCACTGTTGGAGCAATCATTAGAAAATGGAAGAAGCTAAACATGACTGTCAATCTCCCTCGGACCGGGGCTCCATGCAAGATCTCACCTCGTGGGGTCTCAATGATCCTAAGAAAGGTGAGAAATCAGCCCAGAACTACACGGGAGGAGCTGGTCAATGACCTGAAAAGAGCTGGGACCACCGTTTCCAAGGTTACTATTGGTAATACACTAAGACGTCACGGTTTGAAATCACGCGTGGCACGGAAGGTTCCCCTGCTTAAACCAGCACATGTCAAGGCCCGTCTTCAGTTTGCCAATGACCATTTGGATGATCCAGAGGAGTCATGGGAGAAAGTCATGTGGTCAGATGAGAGCAAAATAGAACTTTTTGGTCATAATTCCACTAACCGTGTTTGGAGGAAGAAGAATGATGAGTACCATCCCAAGAACACCATCCCTACTGTGAAGCATGGGGGTGGTAGCATCATGCTTTGGGGGTGTTTTTCTGCACATGGGACAGGGCGACTGCACTGTAGAGAAGAGGATGACCGGGGCCATGTATTGCGAGATTTTGGGGAACAACCTCCTTCCCTCAGTTAGAGCATTGAAGATGGGTCGAGGCTGGGTCTTCCAACATGACAATGACCCGAAGCACACAGCCAGGATAACCAAGGAGTGGCTCTGTAAGAAGCATATCAAGGTTCTGGCGTGGCCTAGCCAGTCTCCAGACCTAAACCCAATAGAGAATCTTTGGAGGGAGCTCAAACTCAGTGTTTCTCAGCGACAGCCCAGAAACCTGACTGATCTAGAGAAGACCTGTGTGGAGGAGTGGGCCAAAATCCCTCCTGCAGTGTGTGCAAACCTGGTGAAAAACTACAGGAAACGTTTGACCTCTGTAATTGCAAACAAAGGCTACTGTACCAAATATTAACATTGATTTTCTCAGGTGTTCAAATACTTATTTGCAGCTGTATCATACAAATAAATAGTTAAAAAATCATACATTGTGATTTCTGGATTTTCTTTTTTTTAGATTGTCTCTCACAGTGGACATGCACCTACGATGACAATTTCAGACCCCTCCATGATTTCTAAGTGGGAGAACTTGCAAAATAGCAGGGTGTTCAAATACTTATTTTCCTCACTGTATGTGAAACACTGATATAAAAGCGTAGTGTAAAACTCTTTTGTATTCTCTTGTCTGTATGCATTTCCCCTCATTCATGTATTGTCTGGAACTGTTGCTCCCTCCCTAGCTGTGCAAGGTGTTTGTATTTCCTTCCTGTGTCTTTTGTTTTTTACATATCAGCAGGGAGCTCCACTCTCCCTCAGTTTTATCCCCTTTCCCTATTTAAACATTTTCCCTCTTGTGCCCTCTTTAAGCAGCCATTTCATCCATTTACCTGTTCCACCAGCGGTTGTCACTCTCATTGTCTTTGTTCTCACCTTCTGTCACCCTCACTTGGTCCATCGTACTTTCTTACCCAACTCTCATTTTTCCCCGCTCTCTCACTCGTCCATCTCTGTCTCTCGCCTCAGGACAGCACCACCTCCACGGGGTCGGCCGAGCTGACAGGCATCAAAGAGCTGGATGACCTCAGCCAGGAAATAGCTCAGCTGCAGAGGTGAGCCCCCTGCTACTCCTGAGTAGCAGGAGTACAACTTTGTTTCTCTTCCTCTGAGAAACAGAAGGGGAGTTTGCAGTGAAGTGATGTTCATGATGAAAGTGCTTTGGATACTATTAGATACATTTTCATCAAATAATTTTAACCTTTAACCATATTAGATTACTTTTTAATCCAAGAGAGACTTGGTCAAGAAAACAGTTTCACCATGGAGCCGTGTGTGTGTGTTTTTTTTCTGAAGCATAGGCATTGTTAGCAAGTAATAGTACCACTTGTTACTTACCTTGCTCTTTTCCTGTCCTGTTCACCTATAGAGAGAAATTCATTCTGGAGCACGAGATCAGGGAAAAGGAGGAAGCCATCAGACAGCAAAATAGTGAACTCCAGGTAAGGCTGCACCAAAATCATTTAAGTTTTCTGTTAAAATATCAGTGAACGTGAGAGTGACAGGTCCAATTTAGTGAAGTTTAGTATGAAGTTCAGGGGTTCAAATCAATAAATGTTTGAGTGGCCAACAGCTTGAAAATACATAATGTATATACACATTTTTAAACAAGGCAAACATATGAACCCATTTTAAAGTGTTTGAGATCCATTCAAGAATATTTTTAACTTAATCAATATGATATACAGTATAATGTAAATTAATAGGCCGAGCTTGTATTTGCTTCAATCATTGAACTCACCCTGCCTGTGTTTGGGTGTTCCCACCCAAACTACAGTGCCTTGCGAAAGTATTCAGCCCCCCTCATACAGCTACTGAGTATAATTTTTATTCAGGTACTAACTCTAATACCAAATTATATACAGTGCCTTGTGAAAGTATTCGGACCCCTTGAACTTTTCGACCTTTTGCCACATTGCAGGCTTCAAACATAAAGATATAAAACTAATTTTTTGAAGAACCAACAACAAGTGGGACACAATCATGAAGTGGAACGAAATTTATTGGATATTTCAAACTTTTTTCAAACTGAAAAATTGGGCGTGCAAAATTATTCAGCCCCCTTAAGTTAACACTTTGTAGTGCCACCTTTTGCTGCGATTACAGCTGTAAGTCGCTTGGGGTACATCCGCAAAATGGCTCGAGCTCAGTGAGGTTGGATGGAGAGTGTTTGTGAACAGCAGTTTTCAGTTCTTTCCACAGATTCGATTGGATTCAGGTCTGGACTTTGACTTGGCCATTCTAACACCTGGATATGTTTATTTGTGAACCATTCCAGTGTAGATTTTGCTTTATGTTTTGGATCATTGTCTTGTTGGAAGACAAATCTCCATCCCAGTCTCAGGTCTTTTGCAGACTCCATCAGGTTTTCTTCCAGAATGGTCCTGTATTTGGCTCCATCCATCCTCCCATCAATTTTAACCATCTTCCCTGTCCCTGCTGAAGAAAAGCAGGCCCAAACCATGATGCTGCCACCACCATGTTTGACAGTGGGGATGGTGTGTTCAGGGTGATGAGCTGTGTTGCTTTTACGCCAAACATAACGTTTTGCACTGTTGCCAAAAAGTTCGATTTTGGTTTCATCTGACCAGAGCACCTTCTTCCACATGTTTGGTGTGTCTCCCAGGTGGCGTGTGGCAAACTTTAAACGAGACTTTTTATGGATATCTTTAAGAAATGGCTTTCTTCTTGCCACTCTTCCATAAAGGCCAGATTTGTGCAGTATACGACTGATTGTTGTCCTATGGACAGAGTCTCCCACCTCAGCTGTAGATCTCTGCAGTTCATCCAGAGTGATCATGGGCCTCTTGGCTGCATCTCTGATCAGTCTTCTCCTTGTATGAGCTGAAAGTTTAGAGGGACGGCCGGGTCTTCGTAGATTTGCATTGGTCTGATACTCCTTCCATTTCAATATTATCGCTTACACAGTGCTCTTTGGGATGTTTAAAGCTTGGGAAATCTTTTTGTATCCAAATCCGGCTTTAAACTTCTCCAACAGTATCTCGGACCTGCCTGGTGTGTTCCTTGTTCTTCATGATGCTCTCTGCGCTTTAAACGGACCTCTGAGACTATCACAGAGCAGGTGCATTTATACGGAGACTTGATTTCACACAGGTGGATTCTATTTACCATCATTAGTCATTTAGGTCAACATTGGATCATTCAGAGATCCTCACTGAACTTCTGGAGAGAGTTTGCTGCACTGAAAGTAAAGGGGCTGAATAATTTTGCACGCCCAATTTTTCAGTTTTTTATTTGTTAAAAAGGTTTGAAATATCCAATAAATTTCGTTCCACTTCATGATTGTGTCCTACTTGTTGTTGGTTCTTCACAAAAAATTACAGTTTTATATCTTTATGTTTGAAGCCTGAAATGTGGCAAAAGGTCGAAAAGTTCAAGGGGTCCGAATACTTTCACAAGGCACTGTATATAATTTGGTATTAGAGTTAGTACCTGAATAAAAATTATACTCAGTAGCTGTATGATACAAACACCTATGCACCGATTGCAGGAAATGCAGAATGGCTTGGACAGGGAGAGCAGCAGCCTGCAGGACCTGGAGTCGCAGAAGCAAGATGCCCAGGAACGTCTAGAGGAGATGGACCAGCAGCGCTCCAAGCTGGAGGGAATGCTCAACGATATCAAGATGAAGTGCCAGGAAGAGTCCCAGATGGTCAGAGACGGAAGTTATGAAAAAAAATGCAGTTGCGATTTGTATTGTGCTTGTGGTTATATGGAAATACACATGCAGTTACTATGTTGTTATCTTGTAAGTGCATATGTTTTGATATCTTTGGAGCAGATCAATCAGATATCAATCAAACATTTGTCATTTGAGGTTTGTTCAAAGGAAAATGCTGCACTTTATTGCTTTAAACAATAAAGTGTTTTAAAAGACTGTACTTATTTGTAAGTATTGCTTACTTGAAACTGCATGGCTGATGCTTTTGAGGCAAATAGATAAAAATTATTTTTAAAATAAGTACAATGAGCACCACCATCTAACTTTAATGCAGACCTTTTTATTTTTTTCTAATCCTCCTGAGAACAAACTTTAAAATACTGTTGCTTTGGTCTTCGTAATAAGAAACCTAAACCTCATAAAATAGTTAGTTATTACTTTTTTTTTTTTCTTTTTTTTTCTACTTTCACCCTCCAGATCTCGTCCCTGCAGAGCCAGATCCGCTCTCAGGAGACCGACCTCCGGAGCCAGGAGGATGAACTGAGCCGCACCAAGGTGGACCTGAGCCGACTGCAGGAGGAGGAGGCCCAGTTGGAGCAGAGCCTGCTCTCTGGTCGTGTCCAGCTGGACAGCATCATTAAGTCGCTCAAAACTACTCAGGAAGAGATCAACCAGGTCAGTGCAGATGTAACTAGCGTAACTAGAGGTTACATAAGGTAATTCAGCCACTTTTGCCCAATAAGCTCTCTAATTGGCTCAATACTGTGTGACATTCTGTGGATTTTGGATTGTGTTATGTTTGTGTTGTTGGCGATGGCTTTTACAACACAGCATTGTCTATTTTGGAAACATTAGCTTTACTTTACTTTCTTACTTTTCTTCTGTGAAAGCGCTTTGTACTCTGTTTGATAATTGCTCTATAAATAAAGTTATTATTACTTTTACCTCCATGACCATTATGCTGAAGTATTTAGTATGCTCTCACGTACACTTCAAGTACACTGAAGTGAAAGTGTTGCATCATGGTGGTTGATGTATTTTCTTATGATCATCTTAACCACTAACCACCACTTGCATTATAAGTGACGGTAAATTATAATAATAAATAATCAAAGGACATAATTCTGTAAAATAAAAAAGTAATCCGATAATAGTGTGCAAACTCTGGTTTTGCTCTAAAATCACTTTTTTATTTTAAATTTGTGGCTTGAAATCATAGTTGCTTACCCATTTCTGTCAGGTTGGAAATTTTCCAGACCAACTATGAAACCTGCTTAAAAGAGACAAAAAATCAATAATAATCAATATATTTTATGGAATCAGATATGGATTAAACAGTCTTATATGTGTTTTTAGGCTCGCAGTAAGCTGTCACTGATCCAGGACAGCCAAAAGGAGATGACCAAGACCATTGAGCAGTACAACAACACTTTGAGTGACATCAATGGAGGAAGCTTCAGTAACCTGTCGGACTTAAATGAAGGGTTTGCTGAGAAGGAAAACGGAGGTTTCAGAAGTGCGGTGAGGAGATCAGGAACTCTTTTCACTACAAGACTTTATTACAGAACCCAGAAACTTTATTTTGCCATCCTCCTGGTTCAGATTTTGAATCCTTCCCACTAAAAAGAAGGATAAATAACTGCATAAACATCTCAGTCTCAATAGTACTTTTCATATCACCTATTCCCAATTTGCCTTTTTCATAGCTATTCAAACATCTGAGGAATGAAATGCACTGTTTTGGTGGAGTTAGGGCCTTATGTCATAATTTATCATGCATTATTTTTTCAGTTTAGAAAGTGAACATGCTGTTTTTGTGGCTCACTGTGTTCTGCTGTCACATAGACAGCGTCCATTTTTTATGTATTGATTTTTTTTTTTTTTTTTTTTAAATCATTTATCAGGGTGATTCTTTCAAGTCAAAGATGGCCATGTTCAACAACAGCAGTGTAAAGGGGCCTACAGCAGACCCCTTCCAGACAGAGGACCCCTTCAAGTCCGACCCCTTCAAAGGTCAGAATACCTAATCTACCTTTTTATCATTTGCTCCTGTATTTCTGTAAGGATCAATGTTATTCCCTGCTCTGCCAGCTGTTGCTTGCTGGTTATCACCTGCACTCATTAGACGCCCTGTGAAAAAGCATTTCAGCTAAATACCTGACATGTACCTACAATTAAGATGCCAAATTGTAATTATTTAATGAAATGGAAATATTTGTATGTTCCAATCTGTTGGAATTGATGCTGTGGGGGAAAAAAAATCAAAGACAGCTCTTGATTACTTCTTTTTAGAGGCTTTAGATGATCAAAGTACATATACCCAGCCACGACAGTTGCTCTCCTCTCATTGTCTTGTCCTTTTTCTAGATCCATTTGGAGAAGATCCTTTCAAGGAAAGTGACCCCTTCAAAGGCACCTCATCTGAAGATTTTTTTAAGAGAACAGACAAGCCAGACCGGTTTGGATCCTCAGACCCCTTCGGTAGAAGACCCACACCGCCAGCAAAAGTATTGAACACCTCTTCTCTTTACCACTCAAATGATGTTTGTCAAAAGTGCTGATTATGGTTCTTTTGTTTACAAAATGACTGTCAGAAAATAAGTGCTCTTATGTCAAAAGTTGAAAATGATATTTTCTTTTCTATGTTTAATTACTTGCTATAGTTCAGTGCTGATATAAACCAGCTCTGAAGACCATGTCTTCACTATTATAGATAACTGGAAAAACAAACAGTACGACAAAGAGAGAGTACTAGTGGTTATGCTGATGGTGTGTGTGTGTGTGTATTTTAAAGAAGATTGTTTGAATAGCTTGCTTACTGAACTTGTGCTTTGCTTCTTTGTTTTTCTCAGCCAAGTGCCTTCAGCAGTGGTGACGCTTTCACATCAAACAGCTCAAAACCAAAGGATTCAGGTACGTTACTAGTCACAAGCATGTCATCTCACATGTGCTTTTTCATTGTTTTTCCAATTTTCTATATTGTAGTACAGACAATACTTTACACATACAATTAGAATAGGTTGAAGCTTCAGTATTTGTATTTGTTGGTTTCAGGTTGTGTGGTTATTTTTATTTTTTTTGAATATGTAGGTTGTATGCTTCTCTTTTTGCAGTTACTGTGGTCAGGAAGGTAAGATGTGATGGTACTGCAGTAGGATGCGGAACTGTGCGTTGACATCTTACCATGGCAGTTTGTCAAATAAAAGACATAGTCATCCCTGTACTACGTGAAGAGTTATACAGTATGTGACTCTATTAATTGACATCTAAACGTGAAAGAACATTCTAGTTATGAAACACGTCTCAAAGAGTCATTCTTTGCCGTTCTGGGTGACGTGTTAGATTTAGATTTTAGTTTTGGGGCATCAGGGGCAAACAATTTTTCCTGACTGTGGCTTCAATTTTTCCTGTGGTTTAGGACTATTTTTAGCAGAGTACCTACGCATTTAACTACTGGCCAACTAAAAATACTCCCCCTACCCTGGAAAAACAGGAGGCTTGCAGGAGCCAAACATAACAGAAACTCTGTGACTGCTGGTCCTGCTCTACTAGAATACACTGCCACTCCTTTAACCAGTTCTCTGCTGCCTCTGTCCTGTCTTTATATCTGCTGCAATTGAACGGCTCTACCTCATTCTGGACGGAAGTTGTTTTAAGTTAGTGGCTACCTCTGGTCAATGCTGTGCCATGCTACACGCCTTCAGAAGAACACAGAGGCAACTGTAGACCTGAGCTGAGTTACTGTGCGTAAAAGAAAACACTGCATACTTGACATGAATGGGGCCTCTTGTGGTTGCACACTCACAACAAACATATTCTATTACAATGTTTTGTTTTTTCACTGTAACCATCTGCAGTTTGCTGGGTTTTTTTTTTTTTATTAAGTGGCATACCACTGAGCTTCAAAACAACCCAGGCACAGTTCTGGTTAACAGTACGCCAACTGACGCCTTTAATTAGCTGATCAGATGCATGCGTCAGGTTAAACAAAACCCCTGCTTTCCAGGTTTTTTGCGAAATGTCACGGAAAATTAAACGGTCATGCCACATTCCCCTCTCTGAAAATAGCATGCAGGCCCTTTCAGAATAAACAAGATGCAAATACGATTTTGAATTGTGTGGTATGGGGTTGAACTTCATTATAGTTTCTGGCTCTTTCTATAAACATATTTAAATGTTCCAAATGCATTTTAATGCACTTTTGCCTCAGATGTGTTTGGGACAGCGGACCCCTTTGGAAGCAACTCTTTTGGAAGCAAGGGGGGTGGATTTGCTGACTTTAGTCGGATGTCAAAGGTAAGCTCAGGAGGCTCTCTATGAATCTGTTGCGCCATAAAGCATCATTTTCCACTTAAGCTGTAGAAAGCTGTGTTGTTAATTTTGCTCTCATCATGAGTGATTTCTTATTTTTCTGCCAATTTATCACATTTATGAAAACAGTCTCTGGTTATGAGGCCAGAAGCTTTGAATTTTGGCTGACATTTCTTTTAGAGCTGAAGTATTTTTTGTCTTTTCCCTTGTGTGTGAACAGAAGTCAGACAACCCAGTGCTCCCATCAAAGAAAAATGTGCCTAACCGGCCTGCACCTCCCTATGGTAAGCCCCGTGTGTGTGTGTGTGTGTGTGTGTGTGTGTGTTTGAACATGACTGTGCTTGCAGCTTAACTTGACATTAATGGTTCAGTGATTTTCATGATTAGCATGTAATGTTGGTTTAAACCAACTGTAATTAATAGTGTTTATCATGCAAATGTTGTGAGTACGACATTGTAAGATATTTCTCTTTGCAACTTTAAGTGGTTGCACCTTGTCACAGAAATGTAATGGCAGCAACATTTTCGGGGTGAGTGACTGTTGTCCTACTTAAAAGGAATTGTTTGATATGGTATGAGGGGAAAAAATAACTTCCCTGTTGAGCTATGAATGTGCAGGAAAAAGTAGTTTCTTTTGAAGATGTAAACAGGAAAGGTGTTGCTAGAGGTATAGAAGTACTATGGGTTTTACAGAGTGATGTGCCGTTGTTAGTGCTATTATTCATGTATTTTTGTCTCCAACAGTTGAAATAGCCAGTTCAGTGTTAAATTATGTTCATCTTTGTTTTTCTGTGTACGTTCACACAATCACCCACAGGCCATGCCCAGCACATGCCCTTCCGCTGTGACTTTGCACTTATTCTTTTAGCAGAAGCCACAACGTGAGAAAGTTGGTGTTCCCCTTTGCTTTACGACATGGAGAGGGAGATGAGTAGCCACAGTAAGCCAGCGAGCTAGCTCCAGAGGTGTGCCTCATGCCGGATGGGGAAGTAAGAAACCCAGTCTTGAAGGCATGGGCTGTTCTGAATGTCTGAATCACAGGGACCATTGCAAAAGCAAATTTTGGTCAAGTTTAAAAGTGTAATTGAGCTTTTTGCCTTCAGTGTTGCAGCAACTTTTCAGGCGTTACTTAGCAACAATAAAGCATAGTTTGTTGATTTTTGATAGAGCAATATTTTAGACCTACAATATTTACAGTTGTTCTTTATTAGATAGTGGAGCTATGTTTTTGATAGAAGCCCTTCAATATGCAGGTGCAGTCCATGCGGCATTGGTGCACAAAGTCGAGAGATGAATAATTGTGGCTACCTTATAATGTGTTCAAAGCTTACTGTAGACAAGGGTGGGTCCGTCTTTTACAATTGCGTGTTCCAAAAAAGCCACACTTTGCTTGTTAAGCATCAATGCATCAGTGAGCCATACTCAAAAAATGCGGTTAACACCTTTTGTGAACCAATATCGCTTTCCCCTGGGTGCTTACTCTGCAAGCCATCACCTTAAAGCTGTTGGCTTCCTGTGAAAATTTTGCAACACAATATTACACTATGGCCTTTTAAAGTCTGAGCATATTTTCCCAAGGGGACACCAGTTGTTATCATCTGATGTGAAGGCACTAAAGTGAGTTATCTTATTGGGATTGATTTTAAATGTCTTCCTTCTCTAGTAGGTATTCTCAGTTTGACTGCATCAGAGCTGTTCCAGAGCGTTTGCTCCACAGACTCTTTTGTTATGACACACTTGAGTAAAGCATCCAAAGGCTGTCCTGTGGGTTCTACAGATTTGGGATCTGTAAGTGTAGTCTACAGTTTGCTGTTGGATCAAGTATCTTTGTCTGCATGAGCTGCTGGTCTCATGATCTCACTCTCCAGATTGTAGAGCTGAAGGCTCAGAGATGTTATTTTAGCTTTCCCTCACAGTGACTTCAACAAGCGATCACAGGACCGTCGTGCTTACTGCCTGTTGACTAACAAGTGATAGAATGTATGAGAGCTTTTTAAGGGTTTGGTTTGAAAGGTATTAAATGTTTACATCACTGACTTGGACAGTCCCTGTATTTGTGTCTGTCTAGTTGTCTGTCCATCTGGTAAAGGGGCTTTTGCATGCTTGCTGTTGTCTCTGGCTTCAGCCTTGAAAGGAAGTCATAATTTATACACTTCAGCGAGTTAGTGAACTTGCCTGGTCAGGTAGCACTTGAGGAGCATTTTTCAAGTCTTGCAGTACAAGCTTAAAGCTTAGTTGTTGTCAAAGCATGATATGCCTCGAAGCAGAGCACAACATGGTAAATCTGCCTCTTTGTCCTCCGTCTTCCGCTTCTTTACTGTCGTGTATGGCCCAAACGGCTGAGCGTGCTCTCAAGTGGAGAGATGATGAATGGCAGCTTTTTATGTCTGGCTTCATTTGACATGACATGAATTTATTTTGTCCCTCATGCTAGCATGACAGTTGTGAAAGGGATTTCTGTGGGGGGTTTTTATATCGTGCTCTGTATTGTAATTTTTGTTTTTCTGCCAGGATCTGAAAAAATCAAGGTAAGACTGTACAAGGGTGTGGTGGTCAATCCTTTGCATGTGAAAAAGCTGTGTGCACTGCTTAATCTGAGTACAGTGATTCATGAGCACGGTTATTTCAGTAAATCTCCCATTGATTCAAGCGCTGAATGTTTACGGGAAATATGTGGCTAGCAATGTATGGCACTAGTTTATTAGTGTATTGTGTAGGAATCTTTTCTGAAGCTTTTTGTGTTGCTTTTTCTTAATTCACTGCTATATATCAAATCATTTAGTTATGTTTGACGTAGTATTTCACACTTTGTATTAGAAGCATTTGATTTTGATCCACTGTTAGTTTTGCCATCTCTCTTTCACCCAGTGACTTCTCTCCATTTGTTTTGATATTTCAGCCTGCATCGCTGTGTTTTTGTCCACATCTAATGTTTGTTTGTCTGCTTTAGTTTGGAAGTGAGATCCAGCAGCTGGAGTGGGCCAAGCGTGAGAGCGAGCGTGAGGAGCAGGAGAGGTTGAGGAGGCTGCGGCTCCAGGAGCAGCAGGACCTGGAGCTCGCCATCGCTCTCAGCAGGGCCAACATGCCCGGCTCGTGACCAGGCATGTCCCCACCACAGCTACATCCTCCTGCCATACAGTCCTCCGTACACAAGCTCACGACAACAGCACCAAGACTGGCCCAACATGACTAGCAGCCCCTGTTACCAATTTGTGTAAGAGACCAGTGTTTCTCCAGCCATAACTGGACTCGTGTCAAATGACTCCACATTTAGCAAGCAGTTAAGGTCCATTGCTCCCAAACTACATGGCAACTAGAATCAGGGACAATACGGAACCTGGCTTCGTCCTGCAAGAACATAGCGGTTTAACGCAACCAGCAGGGTACTTGATGACAACCTACATCTAACTCCATATGTTGTTATGGATAATCACCCTGATCCATCCAAAAGCCTTACTGTTGCAAGAAAAAATAATCTTTTAAGAATATTTTACTGTTTATTTATATGCTTAAGCAATGACTCTGTGGTGTATGAAGTACTTGTAAAATGCGGTGTATAAACTGTTTTACATACCCTTTAATTACTCATATTGAAATTCAAATCATATTTGCTAACTACTGTTGGCCTTTGATTGAGTTTGTCCAATTTCATTTATTATTATTTAAAACAAAACTCCTTCATGTATTGTAAATATTGTTAGATGATGGTTTTATGTACAAACCTTGGAAGAGCAGAGTCCGCCTTTAAAAAAACCCAAATCTGTCTTAAAGGACTTGAGCTCAGTGATCAGATAATAATGGCATGATTTAGATTTTTATTTCAAATGTTAGAAATGTTTCTGGCCATTTATGCCTGCATAACGATAATGGCCTTCAAGTACAGGGATTGAAGAGGTATTTGAATATAATCACACCCTCGAGGGATCTACATGTCAAGGTAAAAATATGATGTTTTGGGAATCTCTCATAAGGATTTTAGTCCTGATTTAGCATTGGTTAAAAATATGATTTGGTCCCGTATCATCGGTTGCCTCTTAATATAAATATTCAGATGCTAGCGATAATCATTGAGGTCTTCCTTTCTTTGAAAAAAGTTTACTCCACCTGGAGCACTGTTGCATCAACAGCTCATGTTTATCATTGGGTGACTTGTTGTAACGCCCAAACAACTTGCACTCCCATACAACTAAAAGCCTCCTATAAAATGGAAATAGTATAAACCTACATTGTTTATACTGGTGCTGTTACACTTAGCTTTGTCCTTTTTACTTGTTCACACTACCACTGATGCACAGTGACATCTGCTTGCAACTTTGTACTTTTCTCTTAACACTGAAAGTGTATTTCTGTTCATTAATGTCTTATGATCCGGTCAAAAGGACAAAACGCCTTAAAATATTGCTTGCTAATTATAGAACACTAATGGGGTTTATTTGGCACATAATGTATGCACTGTGCATTCCAGAGTTTCCTGGACATGTACAGAGCGACAGCGCCTTATTTATCAACATATCAACATTGTAACATGTAATATTGCAAAGTATATATGTGATTATAAAAGAATCTGAAGAGTTTTGAGTTACTCAAAAGTGTAATAACTTTTAATTGAATAAAAGTGATTTTTAACATTTCTGGAACAAGGTAAGTCTTTTCATTTAAATAAAGTATAACAACAGCCACAGAAAGAAGTGACGCAGTTACATGTAACAGCAGGTCATGAATAGTTTGTGAAATAAATTTATCTGTGATAAATATAGAATTTATGTACTGTAGATGGCCTTGAGGAACAGTAGCTCAGCATTGCACAGATGTGAAGTATTAAGGGGGAACTTTATTAACTATCTTCTTAGGTCCTAATCTGATACTACAAATTCTCATATCAAAAAAAATTGCAGACAGTACACTAAAATACGTGTGAGAAAGTTTGTTTATATCTTGTAGTTCTGCATCGATATTGGAACAAAAAAAGAGAAATGGGAGTGATACATTTGCATCTACCACTGCAGATATTTTTATCTTCTGTGTACTTCCTCTTTTTTTAAATAGGTAGATAAATTCTAGTAAAGTGTTTGAACAACAAGTCACACTCTGCCTGTACATTTTATTGTAATTGGTAAATATAAGATACAAGTTAAATGTGTAGCTTTGATGCCACAAATGTGGTTTTCTCAAGTTATTTTTAAAGTTTTAAAACTCACCAGAAAGAAGAGAACTATGTCAATCACCAACCACATATTTGAAGACCAATGTTTAATATTAATCTACTTTTTAGAATGCCATCTGGCTTTGATACGTTAACTCAATGCAGCCTTTGATGCGGGAGAAACATGCTCACTGACACCATGCAGACATAATATGCACGGACTCAGATACTTTGAAACTGTGGTGCAGAGTGACTCTGTGTAATTGTAGTATTAAGGCCCTTTGATGTCCTATAATTTCTACCCATCAGAAAGGGAGTCTAAGGGCTCCCTGATGAGGGTTTGCTGTGCCCCTCTGTCCAGACAACTCCCGGCTCAGTCTGTAATTATGGAAATGGAGTGTTTGTATTTATAGGCTAAGCCCACAATCGGCTGCCCTTCTGTCTTGCAGCTGCAAAACATCATAGTGGAAATCAAGTGCCCATGTTTTAAATTAAAGTGGGTATACAATGGCAACGTGTATAACCTATTCAGTGTAACTGATCTGGTGGTCTGCGGGTCTGCTGAACCTACTTAGACTGGTTGTATGTCTAAGTAGGTACTTAGACTGGTTGTATGTCTAAGTAGGTGCAGTATGAAACCTGTTGATGAGTGGGTGGATGTGCTTCATTAAACTAAATGTGTGAACAAGATGTATCTAGAATGGCTAAGCATGCATGAAAAGTAGAGTTCACCAGTCAAAAGTTCAATTTCATTGTTTTTAATATTTACAATAAATACATTTAACAGTATAAAATCCATGTACATACTTATATAAATTTAAGTGAAAAAGAATGCACAAGACATCAAGCCCTGATAGTGAACAGAGGGACTAGATCCAAGAGTTTCACACAAGAGGAGACAACATCAACTCCAAATAGGGAAAAGCCATAAAAATTAAACCATTCAGACATTGAGGCAGTTTAAAGAAAACATTGTCTTTGCACATGTCAAGCAACTGTATGTGCATCTCACTCCTGTCAACAAGAACATGTACTATTTTGTGGCCATAGCGTTCTGTCACACAGAGTTTTACAGTAGCACAGTCATAGAAAGGCACTTTTGTGTCAAACAGCATTCCAGTTCTGTCAAAGAGGAGTAGTATACTGTACAGGGCCAGCCCCTTCTTGGTCTGCCTGCTCTTAAGCAAACAAAGCTTTTCTAAAGCTTTTATAGAACCAAAGTAGTACCAGCTACATTATTAGAAAATAATAACACTAAAACCTCAATAATTCAATATTATATATAAAAAAAAGACTTTTGTCATTTGGAGGACAATTTAAATTAAAAAATTACATCAGTTGCATCACAATAAAAATAACACAATCCCCTATGAACCCCAAGTCCTTATGTGGGCTCCTTCACATGTGTCTCTTCATGTGAAGTGCCAGGTGGTCAGACCTGGAGAAGGCGCGTTCACACAGATGGCACTGGAAGGGCCTGTGTCCTGTGTGTTTGCGGAAATGACGGGTCAGCTCATCGGACCGGGCAAATTTCCATCCACAGCCTTCCCAGCTGCAGTGGTACGGCTTCTCACCTGCGAGGACAGAAAAAATGGAAGATTATTAGCCTGTGCTGAGAGGGGGAATATGGTTTTGAGCGATGCCGGGCTGTGCTTAATTGCGCACACACGATATTCATCATAATGGACACGGACTTAAACTTACCGGTGTGAGTTCTGAGATGTGCCTTCAGGTGTGAGCTCTTGGTGTAGGTTTTTCCACAGCCAGCAAAAGTGCAGGTGTGCGTGGCTGTGCGCTTTCGCGGCCATGTGCGCCGTCCCCTCTTGGGTTTGGACTCCAGCAGCTCGAGGGGAGATGAGGGAGGTGTGAGCATCACCCTCTGCGCGCCTGGCTGCAGGCTGAGACCTTCGTCGTACATGCCAAAGGAAGTATGTGGAGCGTGGTAAGACATCTGCATCTGGGGAGCCTGAGGGTGGTGCGGGAAACCCGCCGGTGTGTGATACTTCTGTGAGAAGTTCATGGCCTGGCACAGCTGTGCCTGGCAGTCCGAAGCTCCCTGGTCATCGGGGCTGAGAGGCGGGGTCATGTTGCTGGCTGCCCTCGGGGAGATGGCTACCCGGGGCTGCTCGAAGGGCATCATGCACGAAACGTTCCCTTCTTGCTTGATTTTGCTGCAGCTTTGGGGCACCATGCCCAAAACGGGACCGTAACCGTCCATGGGTGGCTCCACTTTGATGTCCTGGCGGGGAAAAGGCCCAGTGCTGACATAAAATCTCCCCTGAACACCAGGGTTGCGCGTAATGCCATAGTTGTTGGGTCCTTCGGAGCGGAGCAGCTCTGTCATGAGGCTGGCGCCGTATGGGGGCGGCGGGGAGCGGTGGTCGTCTCCTGGGTAGGATGGCACCGAGTTTCCAGTCGTGTACATGCTGGGGTCAACTGTGCCCACAAATTCCGCCACGCTGTCTGAGCCAGTTGTGTTGGCAAGAATAAAATCCAGATCCAAATAATTACTCAGATCCTCGTCGTCCTTTCTGCTGTGATTGTCCAGGTTCTGTACCATTTCAAGCATGGAGCAGCTGGTGGAGACTATTTTGTCCATATCTCCTTTCCACCTCTGAAAGTATAAAAAAAGAAATGATTAGATATAATAGCGTTGCTGTAAAATAAAATGCTGTATGAGAAATTGCAAAATATATCCAGCTAAACAAGTAATTCAGCATAATACCTAATTGTTTTTTCCCCCCCAGAAAACAAGGAAATATATTATTTTTTTGTGTTTTTTCTTTAAGCAAGTTCCAAAAGATCTACAAGATATCAAGAGATTACAATCCTTATCAAAATGGGTGAAACAAAGTGACATCCTCAGATTTTAAAACATTGCCTAACCCTTGTATTTTTAACTTACGTTTTCCCAGGTTCTCTCTCTTTGGTTTGAGAATGTCGAAAATGACGGTAGCATCACTCCAGACAAGGCCATCGTTTAGTGAAATAATAACTATCTCTTGTCAAAGTCTCGTTGTGTTGAGCGGCAGCCGCACCAGAGTCAGTGCGCGTATTTCACTGTCGCCTCTCCACAGCTGCGATCCAAAGACATGAACAAGTTTAAAAGTGGTAGGAGGTCCTCCAAACCTTATAACTCTCTAACCCGAGTACGTCTGGCCAATTGTGAGAGCTCAGGAAACAACGTAAAGTTAGGTAAATTTAGCTCTTTATAAAGCGGCTCCAGCAGGCAGCGGGGCTCAGTGCGCTCTATGACAGGCAGGGCTGGGCAGACGAGCCTATAAAGCGCAGGACCTCCCCCACAGGCTGACGCAAACACTCAACAGACCAACCCACCTGAGCTAGAGTTGGAAAAAAGTTGCTGTCAAATTACAAACACACGGACAATATAGCAACCATAGATACTTACGTAATGCGCTGAAAAGAATAAACCCAAGGGCAGAAACTGCTGGTGGCCATAAGCCGCACCAACAACTTAATATAAAGGCTGTCAGTACTTTAGTTAATCATCACAGCAGAAATAGATATGTGGTTGGGTTGGTTTTTTTTTTGATGCACAGTAATACAAATATAATTAGATTCAGAGTACTGGGTAAAACTCTGGAAGGAAAGACACAGCACTAAAAAATGTTCTTTAATAAAAGGCAGGCTATTGGCATAATAGCTAGAAAATGTCCCAAAACATCAAAATTTATGTTTAAGTTTTATAAATTCTTCTTTGTGATTGCATCATTTAGCCTCAAAATACATTTCAGTCTATGGTTTCTTTTTACCTCTCTTTTATTAAAACAAAACTCTAAAAGCAAGTCAGTAGGCTACTCCGTTCAAACCTTTAAATTGGTGTCTATAAAAGTCTCTATAACCGTTAGGCCTATGTCTATTAAAACATACGTGAGTTTAGAATAATGCAATATAGCCTACTGTATATGCGGATAGAGAGATTCTCTACAGTTTTTGTGCTGCTGCCTCCACCTATTTGACGCGTCTTGCTCTCGGCACATTATCTTTATGGAAGATGGTTTTGTTCGCTCACCGCAGGCTTGTCCAAACAGGCGCCAGGGTCGTCTGAAACGGGTTTCATGGCTTTTTAACGCTCTGACCACTCGCCATGTAAACATGATTTAAGTTAAAGTCCCATTCAGGTGTAAATGACGGACGAGGGGGCTACTGTGTCGATTGGAGCCAAATTTACATAAAAAGTCTTGCCTGTTTGTTGCTGTTTCTGCTAAGATCTGGTTTCTGATGCAAAGACAGTCAGGTTGTTTTATCACCAGGGATGCCCTGGCTCCAGAGGTCACTGGGTCAACTGTAACTCTGCACAACTGTACTGTTTTAAATCTTTAAATAAAGCTATATTGTGAAGTCACTGACCTGGACTTTGATATATAGATTTTAAGATCATCCTGTCATCCCATTGAACATCATTTCCATAAGCAATAAAACAGAGAATGTAAAATCACACAAATAAATAATATCTAGCAATGGAAA